TGGATGTGAGCATATTATTCAAATGACGTTTCCGCATTTATTTTTATTCTACTATAGTTGAGAAAAAAAAAAGTATTTATGCATTTTGACGTCTATTGAGAATACGTATTTACAGGATATTTCGACTTAAGTAGCGCCTTGTGTTTATGGAAATTTGGGGCGTTACACACCTTTATCACCTGATGAACTACTCCATAGCCTCCATTTCTTGTTCTTTCCTCTCATTTTGTCCTTGAGGGAAAAAAACAAAGCTTCTATCTTTAGCTGATTTATGTAATAAAGATCTTAAAGTTCACCATTAATGTGCAATAAACATGAAATTAAGAACAAAAGGTTAAGAAAAAAATGTAACAGAAAACAACAAATAATAAGAGTTTTTGAGCCTTACATGGTCGTCTATATCAGGTTGTCTGAGTCCTATCAAAGCTTTAACCCATTTTTCTGAAGCACCCATTTGAGATAAGCTCTTGATACAAAAATCCCAATTCTTAATTTTCAAGAATAAACATGACTTTAGAGAGAGAGAGAGAGAGGCGATTCTAGACTAAAAAAAAGAATTTGACTGCCAAGAAAATGACTTAAAAAGTAAAAAAGAAAAAAAATGGTTTATTAACGAAACTAATTACTACACCAGAGTACGACAGCTGACATATTGGTGTAACAAAGAATCCAATTTCATATCTTATAAAATGTAGAAATCGAACACTCACACTGCAACTGTCAGCTCATCTGAGACTACCTCACTCATGTCCTTTTCACCACTGAACTATGCCCCGAGAGCTGGACCAGAGCTTTTAAGAGTTGTATAAACAGTTGTTTCTGCTTAAAAATGATAAAAATTAAAAATGGCCATTAATGAACAAAACATAAGGAAAAAAATTTAGAATATTTTCCTGCCAGATTTTTAATAGCATACATTTTTCAACATTTACGGTTGCTTACGGCTCAAATAAGCAAATAAACAAGTGTTTTTTGGTAAGACGAGATGGGTTTTAAATCGGACAAAAAAGAGAGAGATTTCAAATTAAACAGCTGTCTAGTAGAAGAGTGAGATAGTGAGTAGTGGAATTTGCACTGCAGTGTATGCTGCTCCAATGACTGTTGCGTTTTGATATTTCAAATTCGAAATTTAACGGACACGATGGCTTTACTCTCGCTCGAGTAGCGTGAGTAATTGCTCATGGTTTCGTGGAAAATTATGAGAATGCACCCGGGTATGCTCTGATTGGATCCTAAAAAGGCACGACCCGTTTATGAAAGCCCAAATATAAGCAAACAAAAAACATGTGTAGTGTCCTACATTGGAACCCATGTGGGGTACAACCTATTGCATGGTGCCAAAGACAGTGTTTCCAGAAAAGAACACATGAATCATATTGATCAGAATAATTTGAAACGGGAAATTCAGATTAAAATAATCTATCCATTCTAGACTGTTAAACTTGTGTTGTTTAAAAGTTGCCAATTTTTTCAAGGTTTGACAGACAATTACTGTCTTCGAATGTATAAATGTCAATACATAGTAACATTACATTACATGGACAGTCGTGTCAAAACGGGTTGGAATTTTCTGCCAAGAAAAATATTGAGCAACGATCTGTGGAAAGAGGGCATCTATCACATTTCCTATCTTATTACTCCCTCGCAGTTCAATGTGTATTGTAAAGCTAAGTTGGGGTATGTAGGCAGTAGATATTGCTTTTGATTTCTGTCTAGGAGGTACATGAAGCCAGGTCATTCATCATGTCATACACTGTAAAACCAATAGGAACCGAAGGGACAATCTGGAAATGAAACCACAGACCACAGTTAGCAAAGAAGAACTGAAAGAGATCCAATTAAAACAAACATTTCTACTCAATCTACACAGCCAAACATTTCGACTACATTATCGCCATTTTGTATGGTGCCATGCTAATTTCAATGACAGTAAGGAAAAAACGTAAATTTTTTATCCGATAAGTTACTTATCTAATAGTAATCTTAATAAAAACTTTAACTGTATTTTTTTCTAAAAATTCTCCCTTACCCTCCCAAAGGAGGCTAGCACCCATGACAATGATCTAGTGAGGTTTGAACTAAGCCTTGGTGTCAAGTATCAACTTTAAAAGTAAGTTATCAAAACATTATGGAGAAATAATTGTTCTTGGTGTCGGCAAAGTTCCTCAATGAGAGCTCTAATTAATTTTTAAATTAAAACCTTGATATAATTAATGCTGAGGCCAGCAAACAATTGTCTCCAACCTTGACTTCGAACGATGGTAATGAGCCTCTCAAAGGCAGGGTACTTTTAAGATTGCCTTTGTCAAACATGTCATTTTCCACTTTGCCCAAAATTCCTTGACATTCACCACAATAACCTTAAAATACTTAAATGACAAAATTACCCTTGAAATGTTATACAATTACAAAAATATTGTATTATTTAAAAGACAATAATACAATTTTTAAGTTATAAAGAATTCC